ATAGTACCTTTTATTTGCCATTGGAACTTTTGGGACTCTCGGACGTGCGTTGTTTTGTTCGCATGAGGAAAACATCGATCCAAGAACACATCACTGGAAAACGACATTATCCTGTCGAGAGAAACGCAACCAATAATTCAACGGCATGTTTTTGTTGCACGACGCGCAAGAACCGCTGCCGCGCTTCGGGGAATCCTGGAGCGAGGAACTGTCGTGTCACCATCACGTTCCCACGTAAATCGACAAATTTTTATCATGTTACTTGTTGGCGTGCAATTACCGTTGCATTGAATTCGGATACCGTTTGTTGTTCTTGCTCAAACAATGAATTCAGACGCTTCCCTTTATATAATGTTTTTTTAGAATATCAGTAGCGATCTGTGTCAACAAAACGAATACGGTTTCAATAAAACAGAAATCGTTACATCTTGTTATTATTAAGGTAAAATTGTATAAATATCTTTTATTTTGAAAAGACTGTAAATTCTAGGGCTTGATAAAATAATTGATACGATTTATTTAAAATATAAAATCGCAGGGATATAAAAAACTGATTCGATTTTTATAAAATATAAAATATAAAATAGGTTCCGAAAATATTTAAAATATTAAATAAGAAATAAATTAGAAGAAGTTATTTAAAATAATTAATACTCAATAATCTTTTTTTTTTTCTTTAAAATATAGATTTATATATTTATTTAAATAACTTTCTTTTAAATACGATCGAGTCCAGGTACATTCCTAAATTTACATAAAATAAAAAACATGCAGACAATCAACTTTTAAACATGCATTTAAAATTTATATAGAAATATTATTAGACATTAGATCCAACCTCGATTGTATTTAGCGCTTCTTACTTATTTGTATTATTTTATATTTGCATTATATTTGCGTAGAGTTCTTTAACACACACTTCTTGAATTTTAATATTTTTTAAACAAGTTCTTCTTTATCATTATTGATTTTCTAGAGATAATTTATCACCGAGGATGTATTTATGATAAAAGCAGACAAATAATTCCCCTAGCACGATATTTTGAATCACGAATCAGGTAGCAGAAATTCGTGGATAAAATTGCAATAATAACAACAAAAGCCAGTGCGCTATTTCTTGAACCGTATCTCGAAATGGTTTTCAGATTTTTGCCGTAAGAAAGAATGGTAGTACTACGCGATGAAAGAAAAGAGAAAAGAGAAATTCTCTCTCTGAAAATTTTACAACGGCAATGGTGGTGTTTCCAGTAATGCTCGCTGATCCTTACATTATATCCGATGTTCCTCGCGCATCACCTCGCATTTATTGCCCCTATTGTGGTTTTACAAGCGTTCGAGTTGCGTGACACACGATCGAAGATGCGATCGTGTGTCGCGTGAATTCGATACAATTATCGAAAATATTATTATTATCATTTTTACTATTATTTTTATACAAAACATCATAAATTTAACGTAAAAATATTTCTACGATAAAAAAGGAATTTTTACAATAACGTGGATCCAGATACGGTGAACGCTCAAGTTATCCTTTTTTTAATTAGTTGTTAAGAAGAAGAAAACCTGATCTTAGCGTTCACCGTATCTGGATCCACGTTATTGCAAAAACTCCTTAATATCTCGATTTAGTATAAATTCTACTTTAAAGGTAATATGTACGTAATATTGTAGTACATAATTATTGTTTTTAATGTAATATTATCTCATCGTTATAAAACTATTTATTTTGGAAATGCGATAAGTAAAACAAATAAACTGCAGATGCTCGGTCAATATTTCAATTATCTGACCAATCGTTTATGCGTTTTTGTTTTCTGTATGCACGTATCATATAACCACGCGCGATCGCTACGTCATTATATCATTACATGCCTCGGCTAACAATTAATCGCATTATCCGAATGAGGCTTTACCGCGAGCTTGCAGGTATTTATCGTATCAATGGATTGGATAACGAAGTTTACGTGGTATACGTACGTTCGAGGGTCGATATGGCCGACACGAGCTTACATGTAGCAGTAAATAGCGAAGCACATGGTTTGTGAAAATATCAGTTATCAAGAAATATTATTCACTTTGAACAGATTCTGTAATTAGCGACATTTAGCAGAAAAAAATCGGATAATCGCTCTTGAAAATTTTATACACGAGATGTAAAAAAATTATTTTTTCGCAAAAAGTGGCGCTTCCCTTGACAGCCATTTCGCGACATAAACGAGAATACGTTTAAAAAATATACAAACATAAACGTACGTTTGCTGACAGTCAGCGATTAATCGGGTGAGTTTGCAACGAGGGAAAAAAGTGCCCCCAGCTTTCGCGGTATGTGTCGCGATTTAGCGTGCAATTAGCAAACGCGCTCC